ATAAATAATTGGGACAAATCATGTTATATATATTTTAAAAAAAAAGACTTTACAGGTATTACTTATCAATACACTAATTTAATTTCTGGGGTGAAACATTGATTTTTTTAAAGGATTTATATACATGAAATAAATTTGATAATGATAATGCTTTGTAAAATATTTTGATCTGCTTTCTTTTTTTGTAACTTCTAAACTTCATCTGAGCCAGAAAGCAGCATTGTCCTCGACAATAACTCACAACCTTTGGCAATTAAAAACTGTATTAAAAGCCTTTAAAACCCTCTTCAAAACTAACATTCTGTAACTGATAACATTGGTGTAAAGATGTAGTGCTATAATCATTTTTATTTTCAAATATATTTTTTGTCATGTTATATAAAAAAAACCCCATCCTGTTCTAACTTATCAATACACTAATTTCATTTCTGGGGTGAAATAATATTTTTTACGGGTTTATAGAATGAAAAAAAATATGGAATAAAAATGATTTATTAAATATTTTTGATCTGATCTCATTTTTTAACTTCAAACTTAACCTTCAGCTTAACTTTAAGAATATTTTTGGCCACTTAAAGATGTGTCCCAGATTTTTGTCAACTCTGTCAGATTTCTACAAAAACATAATTTAATCAGGCATAAAAGTGACTCCTGACTCCTGTCTCACGTTCTAGGTTTCAAAAAAAAGTCAGAATGCTGCTCAAGTACTTGTAACCCTTCTATTTTTTTATTAATTCATTAAATAATATTGCTAGTATTGAGTATGTCTCAACCATAACTCCAGGGTCAACTCCATAGCCCTTTTACATCAAAACTAAATACGGCTCATGGTTTAAAAATGTGTATTTTGATTAGCATTAAGATAAGTCTCAGTAACTTTAAAAAATAAAATGGCTCCTCACTGCAGCTGCTGTGAAAATAAACTTTTTGTTGACTTCCCTCTGACATCTATTATGTTTGTTATTCAGGAAAATCACTGAAAGATCACTGGGAGGCTGACTGTTTTCAAGGTTTAAAAGTAAAGACTTTGATATTATAAAATATATTTTCCCAGCCTTATTGAAGATTAACACCCCCCACCCCCCACCCCCCCAATTTGTCCCAATTCTCAACAATGTGTGAGCAACTGAGGCAAGATCCCTCTTCTCAGACAGATGTGCAGTAGATGTCATGTGCACAAATCAGACCAACAAAAATATATAATACATAGAACAGACAGAAAATAGAAATAACAACAGTAGAATTGACAATATTAGGTAAATAAAGAGCACACATGCGACAGAGTACTCACACACAGCAGAGACAAAACTGAAGGATATTATTTACATAGAGGGAGGAAGATGTGAAGAGAGAGGATGAAGCAGTTATTGCAGACAATGAGCGATGAGCAGGTATAAAGAAAGATGGAGAAAACACTATCTCAGTGTTCAGCTTATCCTTTGCATGCATAAGGCCGAGGACCAGGGTTAATTTTGGACAGGTTACCTGGCTGTCACAGAGCTGACATAAACAGACAGGCAACGAATCACTCCGAGTAAGACTCACCTCTAACCTGCCTGACTTTAGACTGTGTGAAGAAACCCACACAGACTCAAAGCACATACAACTCCACACAAGAAAAAATTGCTAAGGCTTCAGTGCTAGCCTTGTTAGCTTATTTGCAAGGTAAAAATGGTAATGTTTAGGTGTGGTATAGGTCAGGGAAAGATGTGGGAAGGATGTCCTATATCTGCCTGAAAAGAAACCTGTACAAACTTCTTGTTTTCCCATGATGCCCTGTCATGTCTGATGTACTGTTTAAGTTCAGAAACACAAATCCACGCACTTGAGATGCTCTTATGCCTGTCAGTCTGAGAGGTCATCTGTCATTTTCACAAAGATTGAATTGATTTAAAAGAAAAAAAGATTGACCTGCAATTTTATTATTCTTGCCTATAGAAACAAGTCCAAAAGGACTGCGAATGCTGATTTCCCAAAAAAGTAGTTATCATGTTTCCACCAGTAAATGTCACTGCATAACACGGAAGTGCATTAACGATTCATGTTTTATCCAGACTGCTTGTGAAGCTCTTCTAAATGTGCAGATGGCTCAACCTCATAAAATATATCAGATAATGAATCTGCTTCATGTTTCTGTTAAAGGTATCTCTGGAAAGAGCCAAATCCTGTTTGCTATAGTGTTTACCACACGCTACTTGGATCTGCTCACCTCCTTCATCTCCCTCTATAACACATGCATGAAGGTAAGAAACCAGAACATCTTCGTTCTGACCAGCAGCTTTTCGCACAAGTCCCCTATTCCTCCCGAGTGCCTTCAGTGACGAGCTGCTCTGTGCTGTTTATCAGGTGATCTACATCGGTTGTGCGTATGCCACAGTCTACCTGATCTACGTTAAGTTCAGGGCCACCTATGATGGCAACCATGACAGTTTCAGAGTGGAGTTCCTGGTCGTTCCCGTTGGGGGTCTGGCTGTTCTCATCAACCATGACTTCTCTCTGGTGGAGGTGGGTTCATCTTCCTGTATTACCACTATGATGTGTTCCTGTCTAATCTTGCTTTAGTATGAACATGTAAGTGTATCTGTCATCAGATCCTGTGGACGTTCTCAATCTACCTGGAGTCGGTGGCGATCCTGCCTCAGCTCTTCATGATCAGCAAGACTGGCGAGGCGGAGACGATCACCACCCACTACCTGTTCTGCCTGGGCCTGTATCGGGCCCTCTATCTCTTCAACTGGATCTGGCGTTTCTACTTTGAAGGCTTCTTTGACATGATCGCCATTGTGGCCGGTTTGGTCCAGACCGTCCTCTACTGTGACTTCTTCTACCTTTATGTCACCAAAGGTGGGTTTCCTACTGGTATCGTCCTTTATGGAATGAGGAAATAAGAGTAATTGTCAGGCAATACTTGGGGGAATTAAACTATTTTTTTTTACTGTGTATGGACATTTGTAGCTGTAGCTAGTAGTTTCTTAAAGTAATTTCTTAAAGAGTACTTGAATATAAAACTCGTGCCTTTATGTGTGCTGAAAAAGTTTGTACTTGATGTAATCACTCTTTGAGTCCCCATTGGCCCTGAGGCAATCCCTTCCTAGAATAATGTTGATGTAAGAGAGCCACACTTCTTGTTTCCTGCTAAACCTTTTTCTAAAGTTCAGCTGAAGCTAATAGGAGGCATAAGCAGACTGAATTTCCTGAATCAAGTGTGTGTGTGTTTTTTTTTACTGTAAGATTACCTCTCTGTATTAATGTCCCTCCACAGTAGCTTAGCTGGGAAACACACAAAGGGGATTTTGTGCTAAAAAGACTGTAAAGTTTGAAGTACGCACTTGATTCGGCTCACCCAATGCTGAATCTTCATTCATATTTTCATTGGTTGAACTTCAAAATCCATTTTTCTCACTAAACCACAGGGCTGCATTCACAAAAATTCAGAGAATACTATCAGACAGGTCTTAAATTAGCTTAAAAATGTATTGCAAGGAGTCCTTTTTAAAAGAAATTCTCAAAGAAACTCTTAGCAAGGAAGGGCAAGACCCAAGTCATGACTGCTGCAATGTTATATTTTTGCAGTTGCGAAATATCTTAATGTTGTGATAGCTTTAATATTTGGCGTTTAAAACCTTATTGCGTTGGTTGGGAGATGTGAATGTAGCTCAAATGAGTTTGACCACAAACATTATACCTGCGATCTGATCTGTAGTGTTTTAGGAGCTCACTGTGATTTGGCTTTAGGAGAATATTTCTCCTTCCTTTTCCTTTCATTTTCTCCTCTGTTTAAGAAACTCTTAAGCCTCCTAAAAGGTTTCCTCCTTACTCCTAACAGTTTTCATCTTGGGAGCTCTGCTAAGGGCGAAGATGCTTTGTGAATAACTTTTATCTTTAGCGGGATCTAGTCTCAACTGTAAGGGAAATTCTAAAAAATGTCATAATTCTAAGAGTTTTCTCAGAATTTCTTCACTAGATGCAACTCTTTGTACTAGAAAGCTTTTTGAATTCGGCCCCAGGACTGTAGTTTCTTTTTTGCACTTGCACTTGGGATATCCTACGTGTTATCGCTATCTCATCTTTCTCTTGCTGGGACAGGGCACATGGTTAAAGAATTGAACTTGATGTAAGCCATTTTTTGATAGAACCCAATGTGAATATCACATGGCCAAAGAGTAACATAATTTTTTTTCGTAACAAGGTTGATTTTTCTGAGCTTTTGCACGGCGAATAAAGGCATCGACCAATCATGTTGCACCCATACAAATGAGATTATAAAACAACACTATGGAGGCGCTATAGTCCAAACCAGAACGGCAGACTTCATTACTCTGCTCAAACTTGACAAACGCAGGGCAAACTACATCCACTCCTTCCATTTTTACCTTTCACAGTAAAAGCCCCAGACATATACTGCGTAACTACTTACCACAGAGAACTCAAATTAATGCAGAGCAGTTTACAGTAGCTCAGGCCAGTGATTCCCAACTGGTGGTTTGCAATCCAAAAGTGAGTCATGTGTCCCTCTGAACGGACCGCCATTGACTCTCAAACAAAAAATCACTTTATTTTTAAGTACAGTGAATTTCTGGCACAAAGCTTTTACTTTGAAGTGCTGTTTTCTGCTGTAGAGTGGGTGACTAATGGACAGCTACTTGACAGAGACAGCAAACTAGCTCAATGCGGGGAAAAATTATGGTATGACACTGAATGTATTTAACTGTGTAGACCTTGAACTAATGAGTAAATAGAAATCTGGACCCCGTGGCTGAACCAGTTGGGAACCACTGGCTTAGGCCATACAAGGAGTTGTGTGTCTGTTTGCAGCCATTTAAACGTAACAGTACATTAGGGGCGAACAATGCATCTTTGTATTAATTTTTCTGGTTCTCAAACACGGTGATGTTTTGATTCTGTCATCAGTCTAAATTGCCTAATCTTCATGGCTCTTTCATTCCTTGGGTTTTATAGTTCCCGGAAGTATTTCCTTGAAAAGGGCCTCTGGTTTGCAACCACTGGGCGTTACGTCTGAGCACAAGTCAATAAATTTGTCTTTAAAAGCCCCTTGATAAAGAAACTCTGGCACTTCGAACCCATCAAAGTGGTGGAAATCATCTGTGGCAGTGTGAACATATATGGGCCCGATCATGGTTTCTGATTTGTACATCTTTCTATCTCACCCCGCAGTGTTGAAAGGCAAGAAGCTGAGCCTGCCGGCGTAAAACGCACAGAAGGAGACGACGACTCACAGCAGACTCAGGGGTGCGTGGAGATGACATCATGTAATCTCGTGACCTGCAGCAAAAGATGCCTGAGACAGAGAGCCAACTATCGGGGAAAAACACTAGTCTTCTTGATGATTGCTGATGGAACTGGTAAATGCCAACAAACACCAGAGCTGAACAAAAATCATACCAGGTCAACCTTTGGATTTCTGTGTTCAGCATCTTGCCTTAAACTTCTTTTCATTGCTGTTCAAATAGGAGAAAAGGCTTTTTTTTTCTACATGTGAGGTGTATACGCTTGTTTTTTTATTTTTTTACAATGTCACAAATAGGGTCGACTCTGAGAAGAACCTTGTTTGGCTTGGTAATGAAATGCACAATTGTACAGTCTTATTAAAGAGTGAGATAAAGAGGTTATGTATCTGAGTGCCTGATGAGGATTATGTCCACTTTCTCACAATTTTTTTTTTACTTTTGGATTTCTTTTTTGTCTGCATATACTGAATACATGTACTTACGTAAGGAAATATTTAAAGATGCCAACAGCGAGCTTGATGCCAACACGCGCATTTTGTAAAAACATTGCTTTAAAAAATTGCTCAAAACAACATTTTAACTCTCGTCTATAAATCAGAACTTTTTTTGTAAGCAGAGCTCACAAGAGGATTTGTAGTACCATCTTAAGGTTAAAAAGTAAATTAATGCCAGCAATCTCTTGGACATAGATGTCAGTATTTTCAAATGGTGGCTATCTCATTTGGAATTAAACCTTTTAATGTGTTTATTGATTTTTTTTTCATTAGCTTATTGTGTTAAAGAAAATAAAATGCATCAATTGTTCTACAGCTTTAATAATATAGATGTCACACAATCTCTCAGCAGTGATACATCACATTTTGGATATAGATAGAGCACAAATGTTATTTCTGAGCGTATTGCACCCCAGTAACAAACTCATGAACACCTTCCAGCAGTGATTTGTTGGTTATCTCAAGGTTGGAATCAGTAAAGTTGAGCAATAAGAAACGGCTGAATAATAATATTTGGCAGGAGAATCCTCCAGCACTCTGACTGGTTCTGACATTTCAATGTATGTCTGGAGTGTGAACAGTTAAACAGATTGGACATGGTGCTGGTCTATAATTGTGCAGGGGTGATGACGGTGTTAAATGGGTACATCTCTAGGAAAATCAAAGGCCTCTTGTTAACTTCAATTTTTTCAGATTAGTCATTCCTAAAGGATTATTTCAACTTTTTATGTCTTTTTTTGCATGATATCACCTCCATTAAAGATTTTATGAGAATCACCCACCAGTGTCGTTGTTTGATTATTAATATAATGCCAGATAAGAGGATCACCTTTTAGTTTTTCTTAGCTGTGACCAGCAGCTCTGTTGGTTGCTCACTTGGTAGGTCCACAAAAATTTTCCCACCCTTTGGCAGTCACAGTTTTTGTTCTAGGAGCCTGAAACTTGGCATGAAGGTTAAGTGTGTGTGAAGACGTGGCTAAAAGGGCATAGCATGACTTCTAAATGGATTCAAAGACTTGAAAAAGATGAGCCAAAGCATAGCTGACTAACTGCTCATGCCAAATTGGGTGTTAAAACAAAGTTGGATTCACATAACATGATCAAATTTTGTTGAAAGAGACATCATTTTGCCTTGTCCACTTTGATTGCTCGTGGACTGGTTGTAGTAGGGAGCCATTATTTGACTAATGACAAATGCTTGTCAGGTTGTGTGGATGCATGTATATGGTCGCAGCTATTGTGAATTTGCGCAAATTAAAAGTAAATTATGGAGTGTTTGACCACTGGGTATCATTAAAAAATCACAATACCAGTGCCAATACCATTACCCTTAAAGTGGTACTGATACTGAACGCTATGGTGACATCTCAGCATGCTAAACTGCCAACTCCATCAAATACACCTCTCTCGACTTCATCACACCACAGACTGTATGAGTTGAAGCTGCTCTGGCAGAAAATTGCTCACGGTGAGTGGTTGTGAACAAAACCATACAAATAGTCAAATTTTTCTAGATCTTTGTACAAAAAGGATCAAATGTACAGTGGTGGAAAAAAGTTTTCGGACACCCTTAAAATTTTACACAATCTCAAATATTATCATGAAATATTTGTGGAAAAATCTTTTTTGTGTTTCAAAAGGTGTGGCTGCATTAGACAGATACAAACAAATACAAATTATATTTTTTTTGTTTATTGTTTACAAGAAAAACTAACAAAACTAAATTCTTGACAGTTTCAATATGTCAGTTCTCAACATTGTCGGTATCAAAGTCAACAAATAACAGAGAATGTGTTCAAAACTGAACAAAAAATAAATAAACCATCACATCATCAAATTAATATTTAGTAGTCCTGCCACTGGCACGTAGTAGAGCTCTAATCCTGGCTGGCATGTTCCCCACGAGCCTTTCACACTGTTGAGGGGTAATCTTGTCCCATTCTTCTTGAATTACTGCTTTTAATTCTTCTAAATTCTTTGGTTTATGTTTTGAAACAGACCTTTTGATAATCCACCACAGATTTTCAATGGGGCTCATGTCTGGGGATTGAGCTGGCCACTCTAAGACCTGGATACTGTGCTCCTGCAGCCAAGTTCTACTGGCCTTGGATGTGTGGCAAGGGGCATTATCTTGTTGAAACATCCAGTTTTTACCTTGACGGAACAGTGCACGCGCAGAAGGGAGCATGTGGGTTTCGAGAATGGTACAATACTTGGTAGAGTTCAATGTGCCATCACAGACAGTGAGATGACCAACACCAGCAGCACTCATGCATCCCCAAACCATGATACTGCCTCCACCATGCTTGACAGTAGGTACTGTACATGCTGGAGATAATGCTTCGCCTGGCCTTCTGCGTACCCTCACATTAGTAGGAGGAAGATAAAGCTGGAAACTGGACTCATCTCACCACAAAATCTTCTTCCAATTCCTGGCTGTCCAGTTCTTGTGTGCCTGGGCCCAACGATGCCGGGCTAACCTCTGTCTCTCATTGATCAGGGGCTTCTTGATAGCCTTGTAGGACCTTAAGCCATGATCCAAAAGTACAGTACGGGTGGAACACTGGACACCAGTTTGGTTTGACCACTGCTGCTGAAGCTCCTGTGATGTCATTCGGCGGTTTTGCCTGCACATGCGGATCAGGATGTGGTCATTTCTTGCTGAAGAAACCCTTGGACGCCCAGATCTTGGTTTGTCTTCCAAGCTGTTGGTTCGTCTGTATTTCTGCAGAGTGTATCCAACTGCTGAAGGACTGCATCTGCACTTCCTGGCTATCTGGCGGCAGCTGTACCCTTCCTGGCTGAGAATCTTTATCTTCAGGCATGTTTCCTGCGTTAGGTTCCTTGTTTTAGCCATTTTTGTGTCTGAAGAACTTTCAAATGTGCTGGCTTTATGTAGACACGAAGCTTGGCAACAAAAATTGTGTCTTTTAATAAAAAGAACGACCTTCATCACTGGTACCAAAATGATCCAATACTCAAAATTTCTTATGTATTTTTATGAAACCAATCAATTTTAAGTTTTTAATGGCTTTTTTAGGATTTATTTAGTATTTTGGCTGTGACTGTACTAAAAGAAATTGCACTTGAAGACCTAAGAGTGATTCTTAATGCAATATTTCACAAATGCATGGGGTGTCCGAAAACTTTTTTCCACCACTGTAGGTATCATGTAACTGGAGAAGTTTTGATACTACTTGGTGCTGGATTATTTCGGTCGATACCCTATAGGTATTGAGTACTGATAACCAGCGCCAAGTTGCACCATGGAAAGTGGTAAAGGGAAGTGTTAAGAGCTTTGATAGAAGTTAATGTATCAAGAGCACATTGTAAATATACTCTGTTAAAAGTAAACCAGTACTGTAAATGTTACTCAAGTAAAAGGATGTAAGTATAATCAGAAAATGAAAAAATACTCGAAGAAAAATGTTCAGAAAAATGTCCTCTCCCCAGCAAGGCTTTCCAGCTCCTCCTGGGGGACGCCAAGGCATTCCTAGGCCAGATGAGATATGGTATCCCTCTAGCATACCCCGGGGGTTCCTACCAGTTGGATGTGCCCAGATCACGTCTAACCGGAGGCATCCTGATTAGATGCCCAAACCACCTCAACTGACCCCTTTCTACATGAAGGAGCAGCGGCTCTACTCCGAGCTCCCTCCGGATTTCCAAGCTCCTTACCCTATCTCTGAGGTAGAGCCCAGCCACCCCACGGAGGAAACTCATTTCAGCTGCTTATCTGCGATCTCATTCTTTTGATCATTACCCAGCACTCATGACCATAGGTGAGGGTTGAGACGTAGATGGACCAGTAAATCGAAAGCTTCCCCTTCCGGCTCGGCTCCCTCTTCGCCACAATGTTTCGACACAGTGCCTGCATCACTGCAGACGCCGTACTAAACTGCCGATCCATCTCAAGCTCCCGTCTATCCTCACTCGTGAGCAAGACCCAGAGATACTTAAACTCTATAGCTTGGGGCAGTAACTCTCTCCCAACCCGGAGAGGGCAATCCAGAGGAGAACCATGGCCTCAGATTTGGAGGTACTAACTCTCATCCCGACCGCTTTACACTCGGCTGCAAACTGCTCCCAGTGCATGCTGGAGGTCACTGTGTGATGAAGCCAACAGAACCACATCATCTGCAAAAAACAGATCCAGTTCTGAAGTCACCAAACTGGACGCCTTCCTTCCTCTGACTCGAGGAAGGAAGGGGTCCAGTTTGCCTTGAGATCCTGTCCATTGCCAGAGGCAACACCTACCGAGAATGTGTTTGACTTTGTGCCAAGTATGTGGACACAGCTCTCACTTTGGTTATACAAGGACCTCATGGATGACTCGTAGCAGTGACCCCAGTACCCTGTATTCCTGCTGTACACTTGTGTATGTGGTGTCATTAGATTATTATCACTCATGCATTAATGTAAAAGCAGGATTTCACTGTTGTAGTTGGTTGAGGTAACTACAGGACTGCAAGCAGCTAATGGTAATTGTCGTTCTGGATTAATGTGATTCCTGACGAATCTACTGACTGTTTGGTTTGTAAAGTTTCAGTAACAAGTGCCGTCACAATTATCCAGAACCCAAAGTGCTTCACAATGCTCTTGTACAAAACATAGTACAAACCTCATTTTATTATTAAAAAATAAAAGAGAAATAATTAAAAGAGGGCAGCAAATTCTCACAATTTTGAAGTTGGATCCATTAAATGTTTGGCATTTTTGCTTGATAGATTACAGTTATTAAAATTGTTGATTTTATATTCTGTCGATTGACTAATTGCTTCAGCCATACTTGTATGTAGTTTAATTAATTATTTAATTATTTGTTTTGTGTGCAGAAATCTTGATTTGTAAAGTAACTAAAGCTGCCAAATAATGCGCAGTAATTCCCTCTGAAATGTAGTAGGGTAGAAGTATACTAGGCCTATATTACTATATTATTATGTTACTATATTTTTTGAGCCTTTGAAACAACAAAACTAAATATGTCAAGGAAGCAACATTTACATTGAATCAAATTAAGTATATTACATATGTTTGCCTCCTCAGCATACAGGTCACACATGTATAAAACTGATAAAAACATTTCCTACCCATCATCCCACTAACCCACTCCCATGGTAGGAAGCACATAGAAACTTCCCCTTTGAAAAAGATGACAGGAATAATGGTGAGAAACTTCACACAGAACATAATGTGTTTAGTAAACTCAGTTTATTCTAATAAAGATTATTCCAACGAAAATACATACTGAAACCGTTCGTTCCCAAACTTATCTCAAGTTCTTTGAAATACATGAGGATATTCTCTCTTGAGGAAAAATGTATAGTCGTTACATCACATTGATAAATCAGACTTCAGTTTTACCACATAAGCTGTCACCAACAATACAATGTTTTGGATCCATTTATTTCAAAGACCATAACATTTTCTCCATCTGTTTGGACAGAAGACCAGCGCAAATATTAATCCAGATGAGCATTTGAAAAAACGTACAACACTTTTAAAGGAGCTCCATACGATATTCAGAGCATTCACGTGCTCCTTAGATTGTCCCATGTCCTAAGTTGGAAAGTCTTTGGAAAGTGTGCTCATGACCTACAAGTTGTAATGTGGAAACAACACAGACACTACAAAGACAATGTGTTGTATTTTGTTGCTCAGAGCATTTAAACATTAAGCGTGGACATGGACAGCAAATAGCAGTTACAACCTAATACCATATTAAAAATTAAATGTGAGCAAAAAATTGACCTGCAATACGTGAGTTAATATAAAGTTACAAACAAACATTTACTTTCATCCGCCATGTTTCTGCGTATATGACACCAACTCAGCAACTCGTGTAGCAAAATTTTCACTGACTTTTGATTTTTGATGCTTACGTGCAACCGGCAAAAGTAAAAAGCTAACGTTAGGCTATAAACTAACAAGAACACAATCTCATGACTTCAGCGTCGTCAACACAAGGCTGTAAAGGCGTTTTTGGCGTGATGTTGTTTTGTAGTCTCATTTAGCCACTTACTAGCAACCGCCTTTTTAAAGACACATAAAAGCTTAAGAAAATCACATATTTTATGTCGTAGAACAAGGCGTGAAAGTCTCTTAAGCTTGTGGTACCCATAGACCTTATTTCAGGCATCTAACCAAAAATCCATTGACCTTTAGACGAGAAAGCGGGAGTGCTAAAATGCTAACTCATTTCTGGGTTTTAGGACTTGTTCCTGGGGCACAGTACTAGCAAACTTTAAAATGCCAACATGCTAAACTTAAATGTTGAACATGCCAAACATCACACCCTCTTAACAACAGCATGTTAGCAGTGTCATTGTGAAGATGTTAACATGCTAGTGATAGCATTTAGCTTAGATTTAGCTTCACAGTTCCTACATTCAAAAATTCACAAGTGGGGTATTTATGGAAATATGTTATGTCATAGAACAAAATGTGAAAATCTCTTAAGCTTGTGGTAACCACTGACCGTATTTCAGGGATCTAACCAAAATTCCATTGACCTTTAGACAAGAAAGCGGGAGTGCTAAAATGCTGAATCATCCCCAGGTTTTAGGACTTCTTCCTGGGGCACTGTTTAGGTGAATGTTAAAATGCCAACATGCCAGACATCACACATTCTTAACAGCATGTTAGCAGTGTCATTGTGAACATGTTGACATGCTAGTGTTAGCATTTAGCTTAGGTTTAGCTTCACAGTTCCTACATTCAAAAATTTACGAGTGGGGTATTTACTGACGTATTTTATGTCATAGAACAAAACGTGAAAATCTCTAAAGCTTGTGGTAACCACTGACCTTATTTCAGGCATCTAACCAAAAATCCATTGACCTTTAGATGAGAAAGCGGGAGTGCTAAAATGCTAACTCGTTTCTGACAAGAAAGTGGGAGTGTTAAAATGCTGACTCATCTCCAGGTTTTAGGACTTCTTCCTGGGGCACTGTTTAGGTGAATGTTAAAATTCCAACATGCCAGACATCACACATTCTTAACAACAGCATGTTAGCAGTGTCATTGTGAACATGTTGACATGCTAGTGTTAGCATTTAGTTTAGGTTTAGGTTTACAGTTCCTACATTTAAAAATTCACAAGTAGGATATTTACTGACGTATTTTATGTCATAGAATAAAACATGAAAATCTCTTAAGCTTGTGGTAACCACTGATCTTATTTCAGGCATCTAAACAAAAATCCATTGACCTTTGGACGAGAAAGCGGGAGTGCTAAAATGCTAACTCATTGTAAGTAAGGTATTTACTGACATATTTTATGTCATAGAATAAAACATGAAACTCTCCTTTAAGCTTGAGTTTACCACAGACCTTATTTAGGGCACCTAACTAAAAACCCATTGATTTATGGACGAGGGAACCGAAAGTAGAGAAGAACTCATTTCCATATTTTTTCAGCTGGGCTTTATTCTCTGCTCAGGATGCCATCACTCCACTACATCTTTACATACCAAATAGATATTTGCTGCTGTATTAGTGTTCAGCATGTCGTATAGAGCTCATTTAAAGGTAACAGCAAACATAAAAGTGACAGTACTTTGTAGTGCTTTTCTCGCCTCATTTGCACGTGCATCAGATATCTGCAGACATACACAACATACACATGCATTTATAAATCATAATGTGTCGAAACTAGAATAGTGCACAGTGTTCAGTCACGAGCCAGCATTTTTCTCTTGAAATGAGCCGTCAGTTCAAGATATGTGCATAGTGCAAAGAATATACAGATGAGACTAAAATAAGCCTCCTGTATTTAAAGCTATAGTGTGTAACTTCTACAGGTCCGTAAATGTCCGTTTCACCCAAGCCACTACTAGAGGAGATGACACAATGCTGATTAAGCCGATCGGCTCCTCTAACATCTCGCGGTATTTTTCAATATATATCATTTTTAGTATGCGTGTCGACCGGCGACATTCCCGTGCTGGCGCACAGGAAATGCTTCCTCACAACAAGAAGGGAGGGGGAGGAAGAGCGGAGAGTGTCACAGCAAAAGGTAGCAACAAAGAAGCGGCCGAGACACGGTTCAGAAGTGGATCCTACCACAAAGAAAAAGCCTGGACGTTCGGCTGAAGGTCTATTAGCAAAGAAGGAAAGTGACCGACGGAGAAGGCAAACAAGGATTTGTATTGAAGTCACTTTTCCTAGGTGGAGAGCCCTGAAGGAAGAAATTGGGCTGAGGGCAGACACGGATGTTGCCTTGCTGCTGTTGGATAAGTAAGTGACTTACATGTACATGTACATGTAGTGTTACATGTACTGGACCTAGTACTTTTTTATTTTTTTTTGGAAATGGTGCTATGAATGTTATGTAATGTTAGCAGCCTGGTGTTTGCCACGTTGTGTAGCATTGTGTACACGGTGTGTAGCGAGTGTTACTCTGTTTACACGGTGTGTGGCGACTGGCGAGTGTTACTCTGTGTACATGGAAGTGCCGCTGGCTTATTAGTTGTAATAACGCATTATCGGCTGGGAGGCGACAGAAGTTACGCACTATAGCTTTAACTAGTAAGGCAGTTCAAAGATTAGTTATTCCATGCTTTGGCTCTCAAAGATATTTTAAACTTATATAAAACATAGAGATAGTTACAATCAGGCATTATAGAAAAATGTTCAGCCATAATATTTAGGCTGTAGACACACAGTAACAATCAGGGAATCTTTGTGCTTAGGAAATCTGTTACACATAGTACATTCAAGGGTCTCTTCAGTAGTGCTGATTTAAGGCGTTCGTACCCTCGGCGATTCTGAACTTCTTTCACCTGAGAGCTGACAATCGAGAGAGAAGAAGAATTGAGCTACTGCGTGTCTTTCGTTTCTGAAGTGTCAGATTCACTCTCCGTCTCCTGGACTTTCCTTTGCTGGTAAGAAATAAAGGACAACAGAGAAGGAAAATAAATATAATGTGGAGACAATGTCAGACATTTTAACATGAATGTAAAAATGTTAAAAAAACATCATGTGCGGTGGAAACAGGGTGTCTACAGGTATCAGACAGTTAAATTTAATGATTTTTAAGACACTTTTTTTTTTTTTTTTTACCAAATTTAGGACAGATTTTTGGTCAAATCATGTTTTACTTATTTGAGCATTGCAGGTAAGCATTGCAGACAAGTACTATGTATGTGGTCAAATGACAGTATTTTTTTATTATAGTTCTTTAATGATTTGTAACATTAGAAATGTGGACTTTTATATAGAAAGGCTTCACTCATTTTCACAAAGAGAAATTAAAAAATACATTTAAATTTAATACTGTTTTTACTTCTAAGGTCCTATTGTTGTAACATTGAATTCAAGACTTTTTAAGGACCTGTAGACACCCTGGGAAAGTATTAAATCATGTGTGCAGCCATCCTTTTCTTTTCAAAACACACTCTGAGTCCTTGGTGTGCTAGAGCTGCAACCAATGATTATTTATATTGTTGATAAATCTGTCGATTATTTTTTTTCTATTAATCAATTAATTGTTTGGGCTATAAATTATCCAAAAATGGTGATAAATCTGTGTTTCCCAAAACCCAAGATGACATCTTCAAATGTCTTGTTTTTTTTCCACAGCCCATAGATATTCAACTTACTGTCACAGAGGCGTAAAGTAACCAGAAAATTTGACATTTTAAGAGCTGGAATCAGAGAATTTTGACTTTTTTTCTTTGAAAAATTAATCAAACTGACTAATCAATTATCGCATTAGCCTTACATTAATGTAATAGTTGACTGCTAATCAATTAACGAGTAATCTTTGCAGCTCTAGCACCCAACAAACACTTGTTAACTCTGCCGCAGCGGCCCAGGTTCGACTCCGGCCTGTGGCCCTTTGCCGTGTGTCACTCCCTCTCTCTCTCCCCCCTTCACACTTGTCTGTCCTGTACATTAAAGGCTAAAAAGCCCCAAAAAATATCTTGAAAAAAACAAAAACAAAAAAACAAACAAACAAAAAAAAAAACACTTGTTAACTCTTGCTAATTCTCAGTACCTTTTTCAGATGTGGGTAATAGCGGTGAAAGATGTTGGTGATGATGATATAAAGGGCACTGAAGATGAATGAAGCCATGACAGAGAAGAAGGCGATACCGGTGAGCACACACAGCAGAGTAACTCCTCCTATAAACAAGAGGAACCCTGACAGACAGAAATAAGGTTTTGGTTAATAGAAAAGAGTCATGTGAGTACATTTCAGCTTGTAGAGGATAGAAAATAGAGTTTGACGTACTCACACATACCTTCAAAGAAAACAAAACCTACTGCTGCCATTATAAAGGTCACAAGAGCAAAAGAAAGGAAAAGCCCGACAGGCAGTGCGGCCATGGCGCCAAACAGCAGCACTGTCAGAGCGAAGACAGGGTGGGTGCTGAGGTACTGCCCGATTCTTGTGTTCATCAGATGTGCTACCTGTTAGAGAGAGAGAGACACCATGGCTGTAATCACCTATTTAACATCAGTGGAGGAGATGACTCTGCACCTTGTGTGACCCAACCCTTCGGGGAGGACTGGGAGATTCCCCACCAGAGACATTTTAGAAACTCAGCAGCTAAACTGACCATTTTAGAGCATTTTGTAAGGAAATTTTAGATCAGGGGTTCTCAAAGGTTTGATGACTGAGTGCCATTTTAGGGAGCCAACATATGACTGAGGGCTTTACAGGAGAAGTGCACACACGACGACATTTTTTAAATAATTTCTTTTATGACATACCACACATTTTAAGACTTTTTTTGACATACTATACTATGACTTTTTTTTTAAACTTTTTTTTTTTGACATACTATACTATGACCTTTTTTTTTAAACCTTTTTTTTACATACTATACTATGACTTTTTTAAGACATACTACACTGACTTTTTTTGGCATGACTTTTTTATGACATGCTATACTATGATTTTTTGTCATATTATACTATGACTTTTTCTGACATTTTTGTCACATTATGACTATGGCTTTTTTGTCATACTACATTTTGACTTTTTTTATTACATTCTGTATTGTGACTTTTTCTGATATACTATACTATGACTCTTTATGGCACTTTTTATTAAATACTAACACTTTACATAAACGATAACATTCAACAGTGATGTAGCACGTAACACTTACATTACAATCTAGTTTTCCACTTTTTAAATACATTTGAATGAAATTAAATAGAGAGTCATTACAGTGTTTGTCATTGATTATACCCAGAGCAGTCGAGCATTAGCTTCGTCAGTCCCTATTGATTTGCTGATAGAAAAGCAAAGCAAACATGCACACAAATTAAAGAGTAAAGAACTTTTTTTTGACAGATTCAGGTGTTTAATTTCATGTTACCTTGGGGTCATCATAATAGCGCTTCACCATTGTGCTCCAACCTCCCCACAGCTGCTGCAACTCTGATTTCTCACTGCTGCTGTTGCTGCTGGGCTGCATCTCCACATAGGACCTGACTGAAGACAGGAGGAAAACTGAGTCAACCTGACAGCTAAATGGTACATTTTGTTAACCGAAGTTAAAGTTTAGACACACATGGGATTCAGTTGAGCTACAGTGGATGTAACAAATAGTTAACTAGCTAAAAACTGTGCTGTATTACACCTTAAATAACCTTAGACCATGTCTGAAAACAAACACCAAAATTAGTAAGTACCAACCTGAACTATGTAGCAAAGCTGGTTTGTGTCCTGCAGTCGCCTCTGACTCTTCAACACTACAACAGTACCAACACACCCTTTTAAAACACACTTTCTTCCTACTCCTCCTCTTTCTTCCTCTTTTGGATTCCTGGTGGAGAGACTCTGAAAGGCTTGTTGGTATTGTTGCTGCCATCTACTGTTCACCAAATATGTGTCAGCACATGACTGTAGGCTTCAGTGTTATTGTACATCATATTCATGTTAAGCATTTTCAGAATTACTGGGAAAAATGTGCATCTACATTTATGGATTTATGGATTTGCCTTAATTAAAATTAGCCAGCAACAATAGAATAAATAAGCAGCCTAAATAACCATTAATACATAAAGGTTACACAGTGGGGTACAAACGTCTGAGACCACATTGAAATTCTATTTCATGCAAAACCTGGAAATTATCAGAATTTGATGATTCAGAAACATTTAAAAACACAAGAAAGTTATGACATTTAATTGAATTCAGTCTTATTTATAAAGCCTAAGCTTTAGAGCATGCAACATCCCTTTGTCCTTGGACCCTCAAAGTGGATAGTCAAGTAACTAAATATGGCTGTGCAGCACGTTTCCAACAGATCATTGCTTAGTCTTATCAATATCTCTGTGGTGGGGCTGTCGTTGGGCAAAGCATGCTTTCTTGTCATCAGTTGCCTGATCTGGTACATGTTCTTGGATAGGATATCATGCACGTGCTTTAGGTCAGGACCTGGAACTTCTTTTAGGTTTAGCAGAGCTTTTCCGTTCCTCATAGAGAGAGACGGTAGGCAGAGCAGCGCTGATGTCTCCAGAAACCAATGACAGGATCTCCATGGCGTTCTGCAGTTCCAGCTTCTTATAGAGCGCCACGATACTCAGGGATGGGCAGTATTTCTATTACTTGTATGTATGTAATGTATTTTGTATGTAATTTGTAACAAAATACTTTTGAGTGGAGTAATTTTGTATTTAAAATACTTTCTCCACGAATCAAAAAACAAAAATAATAGGCTACACATTCTTATAATATTGGATGTAACAATATTTTTTACTTTTTTTTTTTTTTTTTAAATATTTTTATCTATATGTTTTTTTAAACTTGGGCCATTCAATGTGCCCTTCAATGACCTAGTGGTCTGTTTTACTGGACTGTGCATAACATAGGAAATTGTATGTTGTTGTGGTTGATGCTTGGGATGAGTATGCTATAAATGAACTGCCTCACGTGGGATCAATAAAGTTGTCTGAATCTAAATCTGCATCATTAAATAATATTTTAGAGTAGCCTACATCCCAAACCTGAATACTCTGCTACACCAAATTTTGAGGAAATAAGTACAAATTTGCAATAGCTGCGACCAGTGGACTTATGGACAAATCGTTGGCATTCTTTCTGGTATAGTTACTCATGGTCTCTGGTTGCAGTATGCAAATTTTGAGCATTTTTGGTCAAGGACTTTTTGAGTTATTCATGAAAAGCTTTGTGGACCAACCAACTGACCAACCAACTGACAGAGCTATAGAGCTATAGAGCTGCTGGTCGCTGCTAAAAAGAAAAAAGTATTTTCTGTATTTGAAAATACAAAATACATGTATTTTATTTTGATACATTTTCTGGCACCAGTATTTTCTATTTTATTTTGATACATTTATTCAAGGGGTATTTTGTATTTTGGATCAAAATACATTTTGACGTATTTTTGCCCGTCTCTGGTGAGTATTATATTTCACTTTACATTGTCTGTCAAATAACTGGAAACTGAAATGATAGCTATACTAGTATGAAAAAGTCAATGAAACAGACTTATTGTCTTGAAACGTCATTCATCTGTTTAGACTTACTACACTCAGAGCACTTCCTTTAACTTTAATTGTATAATTCTGCAAGTAAATAATTTGTTTTTGAAATAAAAGATTCAACATCCTGGATCATTCTGAGTTTCACAGAATACTCTCTTGTCTGTCCCATAGACAGAAAGTCATATTGTGATGATTTATAACACGTTCTGTGCACCTGCAAATATTAGTAGAGCATTGTTTACAATGTACAAATAAAGCTGTATCCAACACATAATTAATATAGGCTAATTGAATAAATAATGAATGTACAGAATAAAGTTTGTTTAAACTTGACTGAATTTCAGCTCTATTAATACATTTGATGTTATTGATATTATTTTCACAGCACACCGTGAATCAAATTGTACCCTGATCTGAGTAGCATAGAGACAGTGTAGGAAAAAAAGCATAGATATTATTTTTGTGAAAGATGGAACACAGTTTTCCTTCATTACAGCTGAAAAAATAAAACCAATAAACTGATAGTTTCATTTTTTGTTGAGTCTCCTCAAATAACAAGCAGGTTTATTTACACAGCTGCTTCTGGCACAGATCATGATAACTTGGACAAAGAAGCTGAGGTTCTTTTTCTCTGCAGGGGAAAATAAGATTAAACTACACTAGTAATTTATTTTTGATCAATGATTTTTCAATTTCAGACACACAAAGACAGAAGCAGGGGATCTTATTTTTAGTCAGCTTTTGCTGCTGAGATGACGCTGGGATATTTTATCATCTGTAACAAGCTGCTTTGAAAACCATGGGATAGCTTCAAGAGCATAACTCTTGAATCAGCATCAAGCTCAGTATGTTGGGAAGGTATAATAGCAAGGGAAGCAATGAGGAAAAAGTTTGTGGAGAAGCTTGTTAGTCTGATGTTTGAGAAAGTAAAAGTGACGTGGACCATTGAGTCACCTCATGACATCATTAGCCATCTGTCCGATAGAACATGGGCCGAAGATGAACAACATCGACAAGGTCATAGGTCAGTGAAGATAAACTTCTAGTGACTGATTTAACAAAACTTGAATAATCATAAATGAGGTATTCAATTTGACGAAAAAAAAAACTGACTGACCTCTCAGGGCCGCCTCACAGCTAGAAGGAGAGGGTTGTCTTCTGTCTACTGTGGTGGTACTGATTTGATGAAATAAATAGATAAATACATTTCTGCCTATCCTTCTTATCATTTAATGCAAAAGCTGTCAATATTTAACTTGGATTGAAATTCTGCTGATTGCTAAACTGATGTTCTCCCATCTGCTGCTGCTATGAAACAAGTGCAACAACTGTTATTTACAATACGTGCTGCTGCTGCATGCATCCAGTCTTATAGGAATCCTGTGACTTCCCATTCTTATTATCATTATAGACCCAAACTGATCTGCAGATTATAGAAGTCATGCTGTATCTTAATGGCTTTCAGACAGTCTCATAAATGATGGAGAGACGTGACAATGAAAACATTGCATTACAAGTCAATACCTCCAATATTCAAACATGCTACAGTCCCCAGTATACTGATATAAAATATAACAACAAATGTTGCTTTGATATGATAGACAATCCCTCTGTCCGTAATAATTAATAGCAAATAATTGCTATTATTGTTACTACTTTTTCCAGTATTACTGTGTACTGCAGTTCTGCATGTGCTTTATAAAAGTGGTCCTATTGTAACCCAGTAGAAGCTACTGCTTAACTGCTGTTGGCAGGTACAATAAATGGCAAACACTGTACTGTCTTTCTATTTAATTACTTTCAAATGTGGTAGAAAAATGTAATATTATAAAATACGCTTTGCTGCAGCATAATGTTGAGGTTTTTGTTTTTTTGTTATTGTTTATGTAGCCTAACAGTAATTACACAGAGAGAGATGTTAATAAAAAATTAGAGAGAAATTAAAAAGGACAAGTAGCACCTAAATAAAATAATTACATGAACAAATCTGTCTTTTTGTTGTTTTTTTTTAATTGTCTATCTTTCTGTCTCAATCACACGCACGCGCGTGCGTCACGAAATGTCATGGAAACAGAACGATGACCCGGCCGAGGTCGGGTATATAAGGCCTTCACATCAGTCTGATCTCTCCCTTTGCACTTGGATTTGGACTAGAGCCAACCTGTGGAAAGTTATCTCTTGAGTTTTGAAGCAGAAAGCAGATCTTGTTCGAGAAAAGTTTGTTAAAACTTTTGGATTTCTACATTTTGTGGGAAACCGAAGAACCCGACGATGACCAACAGCAAAACCCGGACCCTGGAGAAACTCCTGTGTGGACTGGACATCAGCTGCGCAGGTAAGACAACTTTCACATTTATTTTAGTATTTTACTTGTTGATTGTTGACCTCTTAAATTGTTAAAAGCCTCATCAGTGTAGAGAATCGCATTATTAATGGCATTATCGTATGATCGTATTAGCCTAATTCATATTTGAATGTTAAGGTGGACAGTTTACATCATGTTATTAGGCCTGTTGGAAAAATTGTTGAAAACAGACGCTAATTAACGATTTCTCGTGTAAATTAGTCTTTGGACTGAATATGTAAAATATACCGGAACATGTGTGGAATATATTTACAATTAATGCAGTGATCTGAAAACACTTTTATGTTTTTCACATGTTTGAGGGGTCACATCTTCCAAATGTGACAATTTGTGACTGAATTTACCGAAAATCAAATATGGCGACTGGGCCGAATTTCAAATCATATCACAAATGTTATTTAGGCCTAGTTGTCACCATGGAGACGATGGAACTGTTAGGAGCGGCCGTCAGGACGCATGACGCACAGGTGTAACGTGTCTGAGTTGTTTTGATTCAATTGTTAAAGCCTGCCTTTTGTATCTGGAGTTCATGCACAAACATCTGGTCCTTTTAATTTCAAATTGTATCATATTAAATAAAGTTATTCTTAAGATTTGATACTGAAATGCACTCCGTTCGTTAGTATGGTGTTTTGTTTTCGTGGGACAAGAGACTGATTTATTTAACTGTATGTTACTGACTGCACGTCCAGGCTGATATTATTTGGTACATGTGATGTGCAACTGTGAGAATACTGAGTTATTAACTACCAGTTCAGTCTGCACATAACTCACCATGGTGTGATGCATATTAAATACATTTATGGGTCAGTGACAAATAAGGGTTGGCAAGATGAGCAATTCAGAAATATCTTCAAAAATAGTTTTCAAAGCATGCATCTTGTTAA